GTCGGGCTCCCTGCTCAGCAGGGGTCTGCTTTCCCTCTCCCTCTGCCGCTCCCCCTGTTCATGCTCTCTCTCTCTCTAATAAATAAATAAAATCTTTTAAAAAGTACATTTAATTGACCTGGAGAGAGGCATGGTGTTATGGACTGAATTGTGTCTCACCCAGATTCACCTATTCAAGTCCTAACCTCCAGGGGGACTGTATTAGGCGATAGGGCCTTTAAGGAGGTTAATTAAGGTTAAGGGAGGTCATAAGGGTGGGGCCCTGATCTCATAGGACTAGTGTCCTTAGGAGAAGAGACACCAGGGATGAGCTTGCTTAGAGAAAAGGCTGCCCCACGCATTAGGTCTCTTAACAGAATTCCTGTAGGGGCGCCTGGGTGGCTCAGTTGGTTAAGCGTCTGCCTTCGGCTCAGGTCATGATCTCAGGGTCCTGGGGTCGAGCCCCACATCGGGCTCCCTGCTCCGCGGGAAGCCTGTTTCTCCCTCTCCCGCTCCCCTTGCTTGTGTTCCTTCTCTTGCTGTGTCTCTCTCTGTCAAATAAATAAATAAAATCTTAAAAAAAAAATAGAATTCCTGTAGTTATCTCAGTAGCTCCGCTTGCCCCTCGTTCTCTTTTATTTTCATTCTATTTACACAACGTCAGCACTCCAAATAAATATTTATTTATATTCCCTTTGCTTTATTTATTTATTTACTTATTTATTTATAAATCCCAGTGTAATTAACATACAATGTTGTCTTAGTTTCAGGTGTACAATGTAGTGATTTAACAATTCTGTACATTCCTCAGTGCTCATCAGGATATGTGGACTCTTCATCCCCCACCCACCTCCTTTCTGGAAGGTATCAGGGTGTTCTCTGTATTTAAGAGTCTTTTTTTTTTAATTTATTTTTTATTTATTTTTTATTCTTATGTTAATCCCCATACATTACATCATTAGTTTTAGATGAAGTGTTCCATGATTCATTGTTTGTGCACAACACCCAGTGCTCCATGCCCAATGTGCCCTCCTCAATACCCACCACCAGGCTAACCCATCCTCCCACCCCCCTCCCAAAAGTCTTTTTTTTTAATCTCTTTTTTTTCTTTGCTCATTTGTTTTGTTTCTTAAATTACATATGAGCGAAACCACATGGCTATTTGTCTCTGATTGACTTATCTCATTTAGCATTATACTCAGCTCCATGAATGTTGTTGCAAATGGCAAGATTTCGTTCTTTTTCATGGCCGAATAATATTCCATTATCTATATACCACCTCCTCTTTATCCATTCATCAGTGGATGAACACTTCTGCTTCTACAGTTTGGCTATGGTAATTACTGTTGCTGTAAACACAGGGGTGCATATACTTTTTCAGGTTACTGTTTTGTATTCTTTGGGTAAATACCCAGCAGTGGAATTATTGGATCATGGGGTAGTTCTATTTTTAATTTTTGGGGGAACCTCCATACTGTTTCCACAGTGGCTGCACCAGTTTGCATTCTCACCAACAGTGCACGAGGTTCCCCTTTCTCCACATCCTCACCAACACCTGCTATTTCTTCTGTTTTTGATTTTAGCCATTCTGACAGGTGGGAGGTAATATCTCATTGTGGTTTTGATTTGCACTTCCCTGATGGTGAAGTGATGTTAAGCATCTTTTCATGTGTCTGTTGGCCATCTGGATGTGTTCTTTGGAGAAATGTCTCTTCCTGTCTTTTGCCCATTTTTAATTGGATTATTTACTTTTTTTGGCATTGAGTTGTATCAGTTCTTTATATATTTTGGATAGTAACCCCTTATTAATCTGTCATTTGCAAATACCTTCTCCCATCCCTTTGTTTTGTTTTATGACTACTCTTAATACAGCATGGTTTTATTTATTTTTTTATTTTTATTTCTTTAAAGATTTTATTTATTTATTTGAGAGAGAGAGAATGAGAGAGAGCACTTGAGAGGGGGGAGGGTCAGAGGGAGAAGCAGACTCCCTGCCGAGCAGGGAGCCCGATGCGGGACTCGATCCCGGGACTCCAGGATCATGACCTGAGCCGAAGGCAGTCGCTTAATCAACTGAGCCACCCAGGCGCCCCGAGATGATGTGATTTTAAAGTGTAAGAAAGCTCCCAGTGCTGGGAGCTCTCCTCACATTCTCCACGGATAGAAGAGAAGGGGACGCGGGTGAACACGACCGACCGGCGTGTCTTTTATTTTCCACGTATCTGTCCCTGAGTGAATTCAAGAGGGTGGCCAAGGTTCCTACCTGCCATTTTTTCAAGAGGAGCGAAACTGCTCCCCCTCATCTATAAAAAATTTCAGTGCAAGTCCTAAGCCTGTTGGGAGACCATGAAACACCAGTCCTACCCAGCCGTATACATCCTCATACACACTGGAAATGGGGATGGTATTTGCGGGCCATTTGCCTCGGTCTCCTTCCCTCAGTGAATTTCCGTTGCTCCAGATGGCCCCTGAATTGGCCAGTATAACAAAGCAGATGGTGGGCCGGGGCGAAGCCAGGAAGATGCAACTTATCCTTTTTTCTGTCCACCCCACGTGTGAGGGTTGATTGAAGGAAGCGCAGCCGACATCTGGGCCAGTCGACAGGGAAACATTAGTGGGCATCAGACCCCCTGAAGGGCCTGTTAGAGCAGATTGCTAAACCCTAACCCCAGAGTTTCTGATGCAGAAGGTGTGTGAATGGGGCCCGAGGATTTGCATTTCCAACAAGTTCCCAGGAGATGCTGATGCTGCCAATTCGGACCACGCTTTGAGAGTCGTTGACCTGGGTTGCTGGTTTTCAACTTTGTTGGCTGCATGTTCGAATCACCTGGAAGGCTAAACATCGCCGCAAAGTCTGTGTGTGTGCCGCCCAGACCCTGTCTCAGATTAGTTTCAACAGAATCTCTGTGGGTGGCACCAGACATCAGTAGTTTTAAAATCCACCCCCCCACAACGTGCAGCCATGGTTGAGAATCACTCATGTGGGTTCTTTTTAAAGATTTGATTTATTTATTTGACACAGAGAGAGAGAGTATGAGCAGGGGGAGCTGCAGAGGGAGAAGCGGGCTCCCCGCTGAGCACCCTGGGATCATGCCCCAAGCCGAAGGCAGGCACTTAACCAACAGAGCCACCGAGGCGCCCCACCCATCTGGGTTCTGGAGGCAGATGCCCATTAATGCAGGCAACCTGGATGGAAGTCAGGGGGGCCAAATGTCTCCCAACCTTTGGTTCTGAGGCAGGGTCCCTTCGTAGTGTGGGCATCTTTCCTTGGGAGGGCTGTTGCCAGCAATGACTGTGAGGCTGGATCATGGGTTGAGCAGGATGAAGAAGGCTGCAGTCGCTGTCGTGGGAAATGGGAGAGCGACTAGGAAACAGAACCTCATTTCTGGGCAGCAGGGAAAGGCCTCTGGGAAGGAGAAACGACACAGAGATCTTGGGGCTCTTGTCGAAAAGTATTTTCCCCACTAGCTGTTAGCAGCGAGGCAAGGAAGACCTTGGACGTTCCGGCCGGTCCAGGGGTCACACACTTCTGGGGCAGCTGCAGATGGGAGGGCAAAGGGGTTACGGGGACTGGTGTGGGTGGCCGAAGCGCGGGACCCTCGAGTCTTGGGCCTAATTCCCAGGAGCAACTCGAGAGAGGGCTCGCCTTTCTGCCAGGGTGCGTTCTGGGTACAAACGCAGCAGCCTCCCCCGAGGGCAGTCGCCCCTCCCGAGGGCCCCGGGGCCGGGCCGCAGCTGCGCGGACAGGCGGCCCCGGCCGGGCCGATCCTCGTACCCCCGCGAACACGCGGATGCCGAGCTCCAGCCCCGAACCGGGCCGCTCACAGCCCCTCCCGAGAACCGGCATGTGGGAGGAGTGCTGCCGGCTGGGCTACGCTGGGCGGGACGGAGCCCCCTGCGACGTGGCCTGGGCACTGAGACCTGAAGAGCGAGCGGGCCAGAGCACGGCACCGCGCCACCGGGCAGGGGCCCAGGGCCGGGGCGGGCCGGGCCGCGCTCGCGCAGGGGGCCACACGCCGCCGGGGCCGCCGCCCCGCACTGTCCCCCGGGGCGCTCCCGCCAGCAAGCCCCCTCCGGGCCTCCGCGCCCGCTCCCAGGCCGCAGGCGCTCCGGGGAGGGGGCTGGCGCGCCGAGGGCCGCGGGGAGCGGGCGCCGAGGCCAGGCGGCGCCGCCCGCTCGGGCGCAGGTGCACGCGGGGCAGCGACAGCGGCGCGCAGAGCGGCCGCCCGCGCGGCGGAAGTGCGTCCCCGGGGCCGCTCTAGGCCGGCCGGAGGACCCGCTCGTCGGTGACTCGGCGGGGGCCGCGGGCGCCGCCGGGCGGCGGGCGGCGTCTCCGGGGGGCGCGGGCCGCGCGGGAGGGGCGCGGCGGGGGCGCGGGCGGGGGCGGGGGCGGGGGCGGGTCGGAGCGGCGAGGGGGCGCGGGCGAACCCACCTGTTCCCCCGCCGGGGCGGCGCGCGCTGATTGGCCGAGCGCGCCGGAAGTGGAAGCGGCGGCCGCCGCCGCCCGGGAGGCCGAGAGCGCGGCGGCGGGGAGCGCGGCGCGGGCGCGGAGCGGGCGGCCGCGGTGAGACGTCCCCCCGGCGCGGCGCGGCGCGGCGCGGCGGGGCGGGGGCCGGGCTCCGAGGCTGCGGCCCGCGGGCCGGCGGACGCGCCGAGCGGCCGTGTGACCTTGGGCTTCCCGCGCCCCCGGCCCCGCCTCCGGCCCCCCACCTGCCCCGGAGGGCCGGCCCCGCGCGGGGCGCGCCCCTGGCCTCCCGACGCCCCGGCCCGGCGGGCGGCGGGGACGGTGGCGGGCGGGGTCGCCGGCCCGCCCCGGCCCGGCGCCCCGGGCACTGGCCGCGGGGGGCGCGGGTTGCGGACGGGAGCGCGCCCTGGGCGCGGCGGTAATGGAGCCGTCCCGGCGGGGCGAACGGCGGGCAGGACCGGAGCCGGCGCTGGAAATGAGCTCTCGGGGAGGGGCTGTGAGCGGCCCGGTTCGGGGCTGGAGCTCGGCATCCGCGTGTTCGCGGGCGTAGGAGGATCGGCCCGGCTCCGCGGTCCCTCCGCGGCGTGCCGGGCGCCGGTCGCGGCTCCTCGGGTCCGAAGACAAATGGGGTATCCGGCTGGTCCTCAGGGGTGCCGTAGACTCGTGGTGTAGAGAGAGCATTGGGACGGATTCACGTAAGCGCTGTTTATCGGGGGCCCGCAATGTGCTAGGCCCCGGGGGTGGGGGTGGGGGGAGTACCGGGTGCACGGACGGTACCCTGGGGCGCCTGCCGGGGGATGAGGGGCCTCGGGGGCAGGGAAGGAAGAGCAGAGGACTGTGCGCCCGAGCGCGGTCCCCTGGATGCTTGCGAAGCGCACGGACTGGGCGGCGGTAGTCCGAAGGCCAAGACGCTGGAAGAGGGGCCAGAGTTTGGACCGCGGGACTCTCCCTGGGCGTGACTGCAGCTTCCAGCGCTCAGTGGAGAGCGGGGGCCAGGAGATGCGCAGGGGCCTGGCCGGGAGGGCGCGTGAGCCACCTTGAGGAGTTTGTATTCTGTAGGCGTTTGAGGACCGTGAGCAGGAAGCCGCATGATGATACCTGGAGGACAGAAGCAGAGGGGAGTGAAGTGCGGCTCAGAGCACCGGGAGAGAGCCTCCTCCCTGCGTGTGAGTGAACACCCTGGGGAGAAGGAGATCCTTGTACTCCTACGGGATACGGAATATTTGGTAGGATCTGGCCTTTCACAAGTTACGGAAAAGGATATCCGTTAAGATGCTTTTGTGTCTCGAAGTAACATAATACAGCTCAAGCTGGCTTAAAAACGTGCAAGTGTGTAAGCTCTCATCATTGGAAGTCAGGCAGGAAAGTGTTTCGGGACTGAGTCTTGTGGCCCCACGGTCCCTCGATTTCTATTAGCTCTCCCTGATGTTGTCCACGAGCTGGTGGAGAAACGGCAACGCCATATAGAAGTCTGTTCCGCTGCTTCTGTCAGGACGGTAGGAACCATTCCCGGAGGCTCCCAGAGAACTTGCTCAGAGTATCACTGACCCAGATGAAGGCGTGTGTCCATTCCTGGACCAGTCCCTGCTGTTCTCAACAGTCACTTGCAAGGGAGGTGGTCTTGCTGTCTGGGTTAGCTCAGCTGGGGCTCGCTCCCGGGGCTCTTAGGGGAGCTCAGATCTCCTGCAGAGCCTGCAAGGCCCCTGCCCACTTCTTTGCTCAAATGCTCCGTAAAATGGTCTGAGAAGCTTTGTATCCCCATACCTACGCGTCAGTCGACTTCCAAAATGTTTCATCATAAATTTGAATAGTTGCGAAGGATATTTTGAGTGTATTACGAATTTTGGCATTTCAAAATGAAACCTTGGGGCCACGTTCCGGGATCCCTGCCCCGAGATTCCGTGTGCTCACCACACCCCCGCCCTCTCTGTAACCTCCATCTGGTCGCGCCCCACGCTTCCCTCCCGTCCCCACTCCATTTGCCTCCTGTCCTGCTCTCCCATCTCCACTGCGTCCTGGCTGACATCCTCAAGTCCCTCACGCCTTCATTCTTCCACCGCCATATCCAGGCTGTGAGGAGTGGAGTGTTTCCCCGTGAGCGTGAGGTCTGACGTGAGCCTGCGCCTCTGGGAAAGTCAGCCCAGTGGGTGTCCGCTCTGGCTGGCACGTGAGGAGCTGCCAGAAAGGAACACAGCAATATTATTCCACAAATGACATTCATGTCGTGTCACTGGCAGAAGGCAAGTGGAAGAAGGGTCAGAGGAGGTCACGTTTCGTTGGGGGAGACTTTCTGGATTTGAATTTTGAACCAGGTGTTGAAGTTGGGGGCAGATACGCTTGCCCTGTTGTGCCGTGGACAAGTGCGTTTCCGTGCGGTTCTGTGAATTCTGACTTGGTGAGGCACCCGACGGTGGGCAAGCTGTAGGAGAGATGCGGGTGCGATGGGGACTGGAGGGGGTGGGGAGTAGACAGGGAGCGAAAAGTAGCAGCTGTGGGACTGGTGTGTGGAAGAACGTTAGCAAGACATTTATTTAAGGCTGCACTTCCCAGTTCCGATGGCACCACAAATGAAGAGCGTAGCTGAATCCCCCGCTGTGGATCCTTACTCCTTTGTAATTTGCGAAAATTTCAATGAAAAGGAGAAATCCAGCTTTTGGGGGCCTACCCTTATTCCATGGGATGGTCAGAGCCCAGGCTGGGGGGGAGTTGAAGATTGCAGGTTTTTTTAGGGGAGCACCAGAGATTCCGGGACTCAGGGATCCTGTGAGGAGATCAGTCTCCTTCCAGGTGTCTGGGGGTGGGTAGTGCTGGTGACCTCCGTCCTGTGGAGGTCACCCGACATCACCACTCTCCCCTTACCTGCGCACGCGGCCCCAGGCCCTCCTGCCCACGAGCGTCTTCATTTCCTCACTGATTGCGTCTCTCCTTCCCTCCAAACCTGTCTCTCCTCTGCCGCCAGTGCCGTGCCTTCTAATACGAACATGTCGCGGGCGCTCCCGTCAGGGAAGATCCTTAGACCTTTCATCCAGACTCTTTGGAAGCAGCAGATTTGTTCATCCGTCTGCCACCACCTGGCTCCACTTCCGTTCCACTTCTCACAGGCCCCCTGTGACCCCGACTGTCCCCGTAGGCATTTTCCAGGGGCCCTGGGTCATTCTGGGTGCCGTGGCCCCGGTGACTCGGTCACTGACCATCCCTTCTCTTGTCGGTAGGCTTCCCTTCCTCCTCCCACCCCTCTCATTAGGGTCCAGACAGGAAGCTGCCTGCTCAAATTAGGATCATCGAGGGAGGTTTCCTTGCAAAGAGGCTAATTACCGACGATCCAGGTGTGGGCGGGGTGTTGAGCCCGGGCCTGAGGAGACCCGAGGCGTGAGACCACTGGCTCGGACAGACGCCCCGAGAGGAGTATCGGCCTTAAGTGGAGGGACACCGCCAGCCCAGGCAGCCTCACCAAGGGAGGAAGGAACCAAGGGAGCAAATACCCCGGCCTGACTCCCCCTCCTCCTGGTCCCCCACTGGGGCTCCCCATGGCCGGAGCCAGAGGCCGGGGGCCTGTGGGTGTCTGCCGCGGAGCGTAGCCTCCTGGGGCAGAGAGCGGGGCGGAGAAAGGCAGGAAGATCTGGAGGGAAGGCCTCAAGATAGCGGCAGAGCTTACGCGTCAGCCTTGGCTTTCTGGGTGTCTGGCCCCGTGTCCGGCAGCTCTCCCACGGTCCTCCTACCACCTGCGCTGTGTCCTGTGCAGGCTGTGTCTCTGGTCCTGGTCGGCGTAAGCTTCAGACTGTGACATTTTACCTGATTCCTTGATACTCTGGATGGATGCCTGGAAACTTGTCTTGTACAAGACACAGTTGACGGTCCTCTCGCGTCCTGACCGAGCTGCTGCTCCCGTACCCCCGGCCTCTGGCCCCCCTGCTCATCTGATTGCATACGGGGAGATCCGCGCGCTGTCCGTGACCCCGCCCTCCTCCTCTCCCCGGGTCCGGTCCCAGCAGCTCTAGCCAAGGCTCACAGGGTTTGACCCCTGAACTGTTTCTGCAGCTGTTGCCTCTTCATTCCCTCTACTGTTGTTGCCCTGGTCAGAGCTCACGCCCCTTGCCCTGGTGTGTCCCGGCCTGCAAAGTGGCCACAGAAACGCTCATCTGGCCACGCACTGTGGCACTCCTTGGCTCAGAAACCGTAAAGGCCCATCGCTGCCCGTTTCCGCCCTGAGGGTCACCTGACACAACGATCACTGCTACCGGACGAGGATCGTATTCCTCAGATTGGCTGCAGTGCCCTGGACAGAGGCCAGGCTCCTTCTCCTAGCATCGGCCCTGCTTCTGTGACGGGGATAGCTAAATCCCCAGGGCCACCGTGCCAGTTAGGACTAAGTTTGGCTTCCTAAAAACAAGACAGAAAACCACAATGGCTTAAGCAAGGCAAAGGCGTATTTCTCTTTTAGATGAAAAAGTCCAGGGGCACCTGGGTGGTTCAGTCGGTTGAGCGTCTGCCTTCGGCTCAGGTCATGATCTCAGCGTCCTGGGATTGAGCCCCGCATTCCCCGCATTGGGCTCCCTGCTCAGCAGGGAGTCTGCTTCTCCCTCTGCACCCCCCCAACCCACTCGTGTCTCTTTCTCAAATAAATAAATAAAATCTTTAAAAAAAAGTCCAGAGGCAGGCCTTCCAGGGCTGGGATGGCAGCTCCATGGAGTCGCCAGGGACCCAGGTTCCTTCCAGCTCTGGCCCCATCCTGGGGTCTGCAGGGGACGCTGCTGTGCTCACGGTCCGTCGCCCCAGGCCCAGCATGGAAAAGAGTGAAGGCATTCCCTCGCCCTCCGGAGACTTCCCAGACATCCCACACACTTCGTCTGCATTTTTCTGTCTCACTGGCCAGAGTTTGGTCATGTGGCCAAACCCAGCTGCAGAGAAAGCTGAGGAATGTACTTCTTTAGCCAGGTTCCTTTTTTTTTTTTTTTTTAAGATTTTATTTATTTATTTGACAGAGAGAGAGATAGCTAGAGCAGGAACACAAGCAGGGGGAGTAGGAGAGGGAGAAGCAGGCTTCCCACGGAGGAGGGAGCCCGATGCGGGCTCGATCCCAGGACCCTGGGATCATGACCTGAGCCGAAGGCAGACGCTTAACGGCTGAGCCACCCAGGCGCCCTTTAGCCAGGTTCCTTGCTACAGTAAATAAATTCATTATTCTGTTGCTGATGAGGTGTGGAAGGATGGATATCGGGTAACAACTAAAACTTCTGCCACAGCCTTTTAGGAGTTTAAAAAAGTATAGGCTTTAAGATCTAAGGAAAGTATTAAGAAAATTCTATAAAGAGACCGTTTATAAAATCAGTCTGTAAAAATAGTTAACATAGCTACATATAAAAACAATAGCTGCTTAGAAAATAGAAAGCTCACTAAGAGGAAAGACATACAGAGATGTCACGGATGTAACAGCATCAGGATACGTTCGGACATTTTACAAAATGATAAACTTACTTGGAGAAATACGAGCATCGACAGGAAGTATTTGAAAAAGACAGAGCAAGAGCTTCCTCTCACATAGTAAAGATCTGAGGAAAGCCACGGTGGGCCGAAGCTGTGGTCCCAGGGCAGGAACGGGGCCGTGGAACCGAAGGGAGTCTAGAGGCTGAGCCCGACTCAAAGCATCACCGTGGTGCGGGCGGCGTTTGCATCCGTGGGGGAGGGAAGCGCAGGC